CATTGTAAAGCGCTTTGGGTGCCTAGAAAAGCGCTATATAAATCCAATCCATTATTATTATTATTATTATTATTATTATAATAATTATAACTGCAGCTGTACAAGTATTAACTCTCACTAACCTTTCATAGCAGACGCAACACTGGGCTGCCTCAGAACGAAGGACATCGTTGTCATATCTCTTATAAACATTAGATGGCAGTGTTTTTTTCCACGGACGTTATCTGCTCTCAGAAGCAAAACGAAATAGGAGAACTTCCGGTCTCTATCGACTCTCCAAAAATGGCGGATGTTTGTGGTCAAGTGTTATTGGGATCAGGGCTTACTGTGCTCTCCCATCCTTTGATGTACATTAAAGTCCTGATCCAGGTAAGACGGGAGAGTTTGGACAGATTCTGTTACGTTTCCTTCCCGGGCCTGATTCAGACACTCTGTACTTATCGTTGTAAATACTGTAACTCTCGCTAGTATCTTACTAGAAGAGGAAATTGTCATTCATTTTCACAGTGTATTGCCTCGTTTAGCAGTAGATTAGTAGGTTTGTAGCACACACAGAGACATTTAATAAGTCTTGATAACTATTTATTTGAGAATATAGCAGGAACTGTCCCAGTAATAGGATCAGCCACATTGTTGTCCCGTCTGTTGTCCCTGTGACCTTCTGCTTCCTCATTGCTGTGCAATAGGCGGAATCCGTGTGTTAATCGAAAGTTAATAATTAACTGCAATCTTACCCTGCTTCATTTATATTCTGTGCGCAGGCTGAATAAAACCAACCTGTGTTCTACAGACATAATTGTACACAGTTCGTACATGGCTTCTTTTCTAAGAAAGCCAGCGGCGTTAAGTTGCCATTTGTTGAACTGCTAGAGATCACCGCCAGTTAGCTGTCAGCTGATTAGCTCCAACGCCGCTTTCTGTAGTGTTTTACACTGATGTCTTCAACACAGCGTGTATATTCACAAGTTTGTCATCGGGAGAAACGTATGCTGTTTGCTTCTCAGTTACCAATACTGCTAGCTCGATGCCTTTAGCTCCTGAAAAACATGAAAATAACGAGCACACCAGCAGAGCTCCGGGGACGTTTGCTTAATTACAACCAGAAATAGCTTCATGTTGATCTTAATGACAGAATGAGTCATGCGACAGTTTTACTAGATGCTAACAGTTGTCTGCCTTGTGTATACCGTGTCCATATTTGTGGCAGTCGGCTAATCATCAACTGTGTGCTAAATATATGAATGCAGCACAGCGCACACACTGGTGCCCTGTCAAACTTCTGTGATCTCAGGAAACATCGTTTTGTAAAAGAAAAATAACCAAATAAGTGAATCAAAAGTCAACATCATCATTAAGAAAAATAAAGATTTGTCTGTCTGTCTTCTTGCTATGTAGCATGTGATGTGTTCTGTCTGTCTCCATGGTCTCTCCACAGCACCATTCAGTACTGGACACAGTCCTTCTCTGCTCTGTGCAAATAATCCAAGTCTGTATGTTTTGGTAAAAGGCACCAGAGCAGATATCAAGCTCAGGGCTGTGCGCTATGACCACAATCTCATATCACGGTCTAAGATATTTACCGTTCTGACAACGATATAAGTCACACAAATGTAACATTTTTCTGTAAATTCTGTGAACCTCGGGCAACTCGACTTGCTTTTAGTGTTTCCAGGTGTTTTTGGTGTTTTGCTGTATTTCTCTAGGATACATAAAGTCAATGCTTGCCCCCTCCTATGGTACCTTCTCATTGTTTTTGGTGTTGTGTGTGTTATCAGGTAGGACATGAGCCACTCCGTCCCACCCTGGGTAGGAATTTATTTGGAAGACAAGTCTACCAGCTACCTGGACTGTTTGCTTATGGCAAGTTTGATTCTTGATATTTTTATAAATGGAGTTGGCAATAGTATCACTGTGCTTTGAACGATTGTATGTGGATATTTAACTTTGTCGTTTTACCACTATTCACACTGTGTCCTGCTCTGGACTAAATGTTTCAGCAAAACACATCATTAAGATTGATGGAAGAGCTGGTCTTTTCAAAGGACTTGGTCCGAGGCTTTGTGCAGGCACCATTGGCACACTCGTACACAGCAAAGTTGTACAGGTAAGCTGAATAGATGGGTTTGCCACAGAAAGATGTGATCAAACAACCAGTTTCTGTCCAGTCTTTTCTTTGAATTTTTTTAGGTGGTCATTTATTTCAATCATTTGTGATGCATACTAATGGCCTTCATAAATGAGCTATGTGCTGGGACTCAGTTTCTTGCCATCTGTGTTGTAAGTGTAACTGAAACTGTTCATTCTGGCAGCTTGATAACCTCTATCCTCTTCCAGAAATGTCAAGAACAAGGCACCCCACAGGTAAGTTTTTGTTTCTGATCCTGTTTGTAGTCACAGTGTGATAAGTTCAAAATGTTCACAGACTCCCCGTAAAATGCAGCAGTTTGGCCCCTTCAGGATCCTTTTCCTGTGCAGCAGCATTTCCTGCATTTCTATGTTCAAATCTGTTGTTCTTTCACTTCTGAGAACTTTAACAGACAATGTGCCTGCATCACTTATAGCAGAGCATCTAATACTGTTTTCAGGTTATTTTTGAAAATAAATGTGGTAGAAAAATTTGTAAAATATAGTAAATTTATTTTAGTAATTTAATAATCGATTGATTATTCCATTGATTAATCGAGTAATCAGATAAGAAATCCTTTTGCCTTATTAATGAGCAATCTGTCAAAAAGGCACCACTAAACAAAAACGAAACCCTTTGATTGTATTTACATGTCATATGGTTTTGTTGTTGTTGTTTTTTTAAATAATGCGTTTTCACAAATGCAAAAATATATAAATAATCGATATAAATAATAATAAAGTACAGCGAAAGTCAAATAAAATAAGATATATACGCAATCTAAACTAAAGCGTAACATATTTACCATAACTGTCATTCTGAAGGCTAACTGACATTAATAAGAAGTTTTTATATTGCTGAAAACAGGCCTTATGATGCTGCAGACATTCATTAATATTAATAATAACTAAGTGTCCAACCTAACAACCAGCAGGTCGGTGGTTCAGAGTTTACTGGCCGATACACATTTTTATTGGCTTGTGAAAAAAGCTTTTATTTTTATTTTTTAAATATGAATGTAATTTAATGAATGCACTATTAAACCGGGCTCGCAAAATCGCCCGTCCGGCTGTCATATAGCATGACGGGCAGGGCTGAGATAGATTTTGGTCCCCCACCGGAGATATCGCTAGCCCCGGGACATTAATATACCGTGCTACACCCCATGGTTCACCTCTGTTTACTGAAAGTATCGTTTCCATGTAAAAATAGGACAGCTGCCATCAGCCTTCAGCGACATGTATCATTTAACCAGTTTGTTTAAACTTTAATTTTTTAAAGGTTTGCTGTCTGTACGAAGGGCAGGTAAAGAGCAGACTGGAAGCTGGAAGCATTACATTTAACTGGTCGTTTCTGCCAGGCTTCGGCATCTTTTTCAGTCTTAATTCCATATTAGTAGTCACTTGATCAAAAGTTTGTCATATACATACAAATATTTGTGACTATTAAGTATGGTTAACGTAAGTTGAACGTGACATGGAGCAAATGTGAATGCAGAAAGTCACATTCACATGGGGATGAAGTTAACATGACAGTTATGCAATAAAAGATCAAAAGCCTTGATGTTGTATGTACAACCTGAATGCCATCGTAGACCAGGTGCCTGCAGTTCTATGAGAAGTGATTGACTCAGTGCCAGCTCATGGCAGTGTTTGACTGTCCAAGAATGAAATAGCACCTAACCACTGATAGCCAGAACGCCCAGAGTTGGCATATCACTTGATGCTGTTGGGACTTTCTCTCTGAAATGTCCCTCAGTCTTCCTCCAATATTCTGCTTTTGCCTCTGATATCTTTCTTTAGGTTGGATTTGGCACAGGGGTGGCTGTAGCTCAGGTAGCTCAGGTGGTAGAGCAGGTCACCTACTAATTTGAAGGTTGGTGGTTCGATCCCTGTGTGCTCCAGTCTGCATGCCAAATGTCAGTGGGCAAGATACTAACCTCAAGTTGCTCTCTGATGCATCCAATGGAGTTTGAATGTTAGATAGAAAGTGCTTATGTAGGAAGAGAATACATAATGTATAATTATCTATTTGTCTATATTTAATGTAATTCCTTCTCTTCTAAACATAAGGGCAGTGTTGGGGTCTCTCATAAACTGACATCCCTGGTCATCCATAGTTTATTCTGATAACATCTGCCTCCTTTGTCCATCGTTGTTCTGTACAGTTGTGGATGTAAAACAGGGCAGTGGGTGTGTAGGCTTCTATGTCCTACAAGGCAGCATGGGAGACGAGACTACAGCCGACCCCCTCCACTAAGTGATGGGATTGATCAGTGGGGGCCAGAAGGAAACAAATTAATCCACTTGGTTTTTTGAAGAAGCAGAAATGCACTATGGATATGCACATCCCATATACTAGGAGTCTATGGGATGTGCATATCTAGTTCATTTATGTCCCCAATGATGCACAGCTGGGGTTAGGTTGGAATACAGCAGCTGAACTATGTAGATAAGTCCTCACATATCCTTTCCAAGAACCTCTGAACAGGCACATAGGCATGCATATACAGTACCAGTGAAAGGTTTGGACACGCCTCCTCATTTAATGGTTTCTCTTTATTTTCACTACTCTCTAGGTTGTAGATACTGAAGACATCAAATCTATGAAGCAAGATATATGGAATTATATAGCAAGAAAAATCCATAAATCACTAAATGTTTCTTGTTTTTTTTTTTATGCTTTCCCAATCAAAAGTTTGACCACTTGATGCCGCCTACAATATTTTTCATGGTTGGGTCTTAAAAAGGTTTCAAGTAGAGCTTCAACATGCAACAAGAGGAAATGGGAGTAAGACAAAACAACATTTTGAGCAATTTATTGACAACAGCACTGAAACTGAAACAAGCTGTTTTACAGCTGATCAAAGGTTTAGGTCCACATGCCTTTAAAAGGCCAAATCTAAGCAAAAATATGGATCGCTGTCAGGCAGTCACACTGTTATAATGTTCTGATGGCAAAAATGTTTTCCTCTTTTGAACGAGATCAGGTTGCTGAACTGCATAAGCAGGGTGTCTCACAGCACGCCATCGCTGCTGAGGTCAAGTCAAGGTTGAATTCAGAGTATTGATGTGTAAATAATTACATTTGAAAAAGGGGGTAGGAACAGGAAAAGTATAAACTTCATCCTACTCCTTTTCAAACACACACGTTCTGCAGACAGAAATATATATGAAAACTTGATGTTTTTTAAGTTCTTTTCTCTTTGTTATTTCACTTCTATTTGCATGTTCAAAATAAAATTCTGTCAGAAAAACAAGCAAAACAAATTTACAATAAAACGTTTGAGGCAGAGCAGAGTCGCTGCGTTATGTGTGCTGCCTTCAACAAATGCTGCAATGAACTGAATAACTCAAGTAACTCGATTATTTCAAAAATATCCTTGTTGAAAATTCTTTGTCTTGATACTTTGTTTGTGACCCGCTCGTATTCATCACCATGTAAACGTGAGCAGTCCACCCACATCTCTGACGACAAATAGACCTGCCATAGAATCGTATTCAGGAATATAAAGCACAACAACATTAAGCCCATGCAGACCCCAGCTTTTAAACAGACTGATAACACCAGCAGAAGTGACAGTGAAGCTGTCATAGTTTAACATACGTCTGCCCACACACACATACACACTGCGACGAGTCGTTACTCGCTAAAGAAAGAACGTAACTGCCAGCCAGTGACGCCTACGAGAAGCAGAGGTGAATCTAAAGGGGGGTGTGGGGTGCACTGTATTTATTTGTAAGGCTTTTGTAACATTTTTCAAATATAAAGTGAAATAACATTATATGATATTAATAAAATTGTGTTAATATTCAAAAATATAAACATTGGTATTTTCAGCATACCAATAAAAATGTACCTGGGCCAGTAAAACTCTAACCTGTTAGGCTGGAACCTTAATTATTATTATTAATAATAATAAAACTGCACTTTAGGAACTGTTGCATCAAAGCCAAGGCAAGCTTCAGAATAGGCTTGCTTTTCATTATTGCAGCCACCCTGCACTCCTTTAAAGGCTCGCAGGTGCATAACTGACTCATTTGCACTTAAACAGGCAAAGACACGAAGCACATACGCATGAACAAACACCAAACCTCGATCAGGAGATGCAATGCTGTTACAACTCTTTTGCATGCTACGAGTTTAAGAGACCCCCGCCCTAGTAACACAGTAAAGGGTCTATTAAAGGGAGTAAAGGGAATATTATTTATTACCTCTGTTTAACTTACATGCACACCTTATTTTACGATTACTGTACTTGAGATTTTTTTTTCAATTTTTGCACTTAGGAAAGTGTTTTCTTCAAAAACGTTAATTTTATTATGACATAAATTCAATGACTGGGTTCAGGGCTTGTTTTGTTTGTTTTGGCAGATTTTGTAATGGAAACCGATGCACGGTTCATTTTTCAAAGACCTGTGTTTTGTTTTTTCATTTTTGGAGTAATCGGTTAAACACATTATTACTAAAATAATCTCCAGATGCAGCGCTACTTTTAACATGCTGGCCTTGGCCCACACTGACCCCACTTAACAAATAAATTGTGTGTTGCTCCTCATCGCTCCCCTCAGGCCATCTGTACACGATTTCTTAATAAGGGTATAAAGTGTCAAAATAATTTTCAGGATGGTGACGCTGAGGTTTCTCTGATTTCCAGATACTGGGAGGGCAGCAGAAGGATAAAGAGAGCTCTCTACAGCAGGTTGTTAACGAGGTAAGACCTATGCAATCCCAAAGATAAATCACAACACTACACAGCCACACTTGACTTCAGTCAAGTCTGGTCTAAGCACTTTACCTAATAAGGGCAAGAAAATACTGTTATTAAGGAAAACGTGATAAAGTAAGTATTTTAGTAATACTTTAAGAAACTGAGCACACAGTTAATCAACACAGTATAATGTAAGACTGGTTATATTTAATTAATAAGCGTAAAGAATACTTCATTTGGCTAAAAGCAGAAGAACTGGGAGCAGCAGAAGCCCACGGTGTAATTATCAATAGTGAAAAACAGACACAGCAGCTGCAGTTACAGTGTGCACATAAAAGCTTGCACATACCGTTTGTCTTAGTCATGTGTGTTAATGTCTGATACAGACTGATCGCTGTGGCCCTGCCTGTGCTTTGTCAGCCTAACCACAGTGGAAAATGTCTGTAGTGATGGATGTGGGAACAAAGCTCAGGTTTCAAAGATGTTGACAAAATCTCATCAACCTCGTGTGTTGCCTCAGCAACAACTGGAACTGTGGCATCTCCATTCTTCAGTGGAGGCTTGTTTGGAAAAATACAGCATTTTATTTACAGCTCAAATACAACAATGTTAATTATACACAGAATGGACACAATTTCAACGTAAAACACTTGAAGTTGCACACACCAAATGCTGCTAGTCTGATGTTAAGCAGAGTTAGCTTGCTAACGCTTTCATACTCGCCACTGAGCAGAATGAAGTTCTGAAGATTACCCAATGCATCACAATCAATTCCAGCAAATATGCTTCGGTGACACAACATTGTACAAATGTGAAAACAGCGGCACGTGTTGCAAGTCGCGTGATCAAGGTCAAGTATTAGCCTGAGCTCACTGCTGATTGGTTGTTACCATATTTGTTTCAAACCAAATGATGTGTCGATTATTTACATCAGGAAATATCTTTAAAAAATGATTTCTGCTTTCCTTTTCTAGCTGCGGCCACAACAACAAAGAATCACTACAAGTGTACTTTGAAGCTAAATCGTATTGTATTTGAAAACAAAGGCTTTAGACTAAACTGAAAATATAGGTTTCACATAATACAGTTAATATTACATGGAAACTGTTAGTCATGATAATAACAAGCTGCACTTACAGTACTATTGTTATAGTGCTGTTGATGCATTAATAATACAATTCATCAATACTTGAACTTTAGTGACTTGTTGTGTGTTTTCAACAGACAACCAGGGAGATGGTTGCCCGCTCCTGTGCCACCATCGTCACACATCCCTTCCATGGTACAGCGTGGTTCAGCACAGTATAATGCCTGCATACCTTTAGGAAGTCTGAAATGTTTCTCTTGACTTGTTTTTCAGTGATCACTTTGCGATGTATGGTGCAGTTCATTGGAAGAGAAACCAAATATAGGTAATTTCAGTATTTTAGTTGTGATACTAAATGAGAAGAGCCATGAGATTTATTAAGCGTTTACAAAATTGTGTTCTCAGTGGGGTGTTTGATTCCATCATCACAGTCTACAGAGAAGAAGGCATTCTGGGCTTCTTTGCGTAAGTGTGACACTATTTGTCTTTAGGACAACAGACACTTGTTTTGGACATTAAGTGGATGACTTGGGCAATAAGAGAAAAAGATTGTTGCAGAAGTAGAAACTAAAGAAGCTTCCTTCAGTGTGTCGTCAAAGAGGGAGTTGCCGAAACTGTTTTATTAGTAATTTAGTAATATTATTATCTCCTTTTTTTTATAACAATGACAGAAAAATCTAAATCTTGTCTTGCTGGCAATAAATTGTTATTTTTGGTAGTAAAATGTTTGTGACAGGATTATATCTCCATATACACCTCTGTCTCTCTCAGCCATGAGTCGGGATGCCAGGGGAAGTGCTATGTGAATAACATTATGCTGTACATTGTTCTTTGTCCTGTAGATGATGATTTTCATTTCTTTTACACATTTGAGTAGTGTATGTATGACAAACTGAAAAGTTATATATATTCTAGTTTTTCAGGTTTTAGTCACAGTTCTTTTCGGACCTCTGTACACACAGAATTCCCCAATAACACAAATTGACTTTCATATACGTTGCTTTTTAAAGCTCTAGTCTGGAGTATTTTAGGTTGTCTGAAAATGCAGTGAAAAGAGCTTTTTCCACATTAAGGCACCTGGCACATGCATGGATTGCTTAGATGACAGTTGATACCGATTTTCCCTCCTCTTAGTAAATCCAGTAATAACTCGCCCACAGTACTGTCAACATTCTGTAGTGTAGATGTCGACAGTTTTTAGGGACTTGTAGACGTGTGAACCTGGTTGAGTTGAAGGAGCAAACCACGCCAAGCTTACTTTCAATAACTAGAACCAAACAGGTTCAGTTTTCATGTCCTAAATAAAATAAGATTAGACAAAAATAGACGACATTGCTGTAGAAGGTGAGATTTCCAGTAGGTATGCACGCGCAGGTGCAGACTGAAAATGACATATTTCAGATGTGAATCCCATTTTAAAGTTTGGTTGAATATTTTTGAATTCTTATTATTGTTTGGTAGTTGGAATGTGTTGAGTAGATCTGACGTTGCACAATAATATTTTTAATAATAACCGTGTGAAGGTTTGAGTGGAAAACTGATTTAGAAATTTGCTGTCAGAGAGACGAGTCAGGAATGTTTGGGGAAGCTGGTTCAGTGTTTGGCCACATGTTGAGTTATTCCTTTCAGATACATCCTGTCCGGTCTGTCACAGACATGCTGAGAGCTTGTGTCGTCCTTGACAGCTTTGTTAATCAGTATCCTGGAGTTTCAGCTGTTGCCTCTGTGTCTGTCGCTGCCTGTCTGGACAACCTCGAAACTGTTTACCGCCATATTTTTTGCATGGTTTTGATGGTCAGTGTAATGGCTGTATTTATTTCTTAAAAGTTCTCTCTTTCTCTTATATTGAAAATACTACGACAGCGTTGCTGTTAGCAACACACCCAGGGTGTGGTTCCGCCGTTCGCGTGTTTATTTTCCACATAAACCTTTTCACAAAAAAAATAAATGTGAAATAATGAAAATATACATCATCCTCAAACGTCAAGTTTTAGAATATGCATCAAACAAATTCCTGTTTTTTCTTTGAGGTAATTATAAATGGTGCTATAGTCCCCGTGTGGATGCAGGCACAGAGAACAACCATGGCCAGTAAAACTGAGGCAGAAGCAGGCGGCTCAAACAGACCAGTCAAAACAAACTGAGGACCTTATTCCTAGACGAGGGGCTCCCTCTGTAGCATGGACAGGGTTTGGCTCTGAAATAATTTGCATAGTACGGTTTTCTGGTCCATCTGACATGGACCAGAAAACTCTTCTACCACCTACGCAAGAATCACGTGAAGGAGTACGGAGCGAGTTCATGGATGAAAAACAACAAAGATCCATCAGGTGCTCCATCAGACCTTTGCTTGCCTTCTAGCTGGTGTTCGGCACTGCAGTGAATCTTGCACCAAGTCTCAGGAGAACTTGGTTCACGGGCAATTCTCTCTTTCTTCTTTCTTCATTGATCATAATAAAAAAACAAAACCGTTTGCATATTAACGTCTTGAGATGAAAGATCGCCGTTATGATCAGACAATTGGCATTCAGACTTTAACCATACATTTATATAGTGGTTTATTCTATAGCCTTTTTTTGTTATATAATATTTTTTTTAATCTGAAAAAATATTGTTCTCATAAATATACATAAATTACTTGTATGTAATTGCATCTTCCAACAATTGTTGCATTGATGCACCTTGAGCCTCATTTCCTGAAGTCAGGGCTCCCAACATATGCACTGAAATGCTCATTCATTCTTGATATTGTTGCAGTTACTTATTAGCAGATCATCAGTTGTCACAGTGCTAGAACTTGAAATCCAATTGAATCAAAACAGATCCCCTGGAAAATACTGGATCCCATATTTGATACAATATGAAATATTTCCTGTTATTCAGATTTGATCCTTGCTGGCTGCTTAAATCCTTCCTAAAGTGTTCTGGACATTAACTACTTCATCTGTTCAGTAAGTGGGAGAGTTGTGTGACATCCTGTTTGCAGCGGTGCTGTGTGAGGTTGTGTAGCAGCTGAAGGAGTCAAAGGCAGCACTGGATAAAGTTTCACAGGAGTATTCAGCTCAGTATTGATTTGTATTACATGAATCTATCGACTATTCTGTCAATTAATTGGCTAAGAAATATTTTTGTCTCATCAACGAGCGATAGTAAATGATCAAGCACAGGTTTCACAGTGAATTTCTCGTTGGTTTTCATTTTAGAAACTGCAGTGTTTCTGTTTCATCTGTAATCTGTTTCAGTGGCTCCTTTAAAGGATGATGTGGTGAAGCAAACATTAGCATTCTGAAGTTTGCCTTGTGCTTTGACGTAAAGTTATTGTGCTGCTGAAAACAAGATTTTATGATTAATTAATATTAACGATAATTGGGTGTACGATAGGGCTGCCACGATTAGTCGACTAGTCACGATTATGTCGACTATCAAAATCGTCGACGACTGATTTAATAGTCGACGCGT